CAATAGATTTTATACTAGTTTCAAAAGCGTGTCTTGAAGTAAAGAATTTTTTATTGTCATGTTTAAAAATATTAATACAATAATAGTCATCTAAAATATCGTACGCAATTTTTTTTGAACAGTTTTCAAAAAAAATTTGAACTTGTAATTTACAATTAAAAACATTATTATTTTCCAATTGTTCTAATTGTTCTCTATAAGTCAAATTATTAAGTTTTTTAATTATTATGTATTTATTTACTACAATATCATCCATTGTGTGGACATTATATAAATTATAAAACTGTTTTTTTAGAAATATATGTTTTTCTATACAAACACTAATTGCCGGAAATATTATATTGTTACTAATTTTAGTATTAATTACAGTAATTGTTTCATATTTTAAATAATCATATGTAAGACTAAGACAATCATATAAAAAAATAAAAAATAAAATAGTCAGTGTTAATATATAGAAAAATGATATTATTTTTATCATATTTGTTGATTTTAGATGTTTTGAATTGATTTTTTCTAAATTGATTTAATCCAAAATAATCTAAAAAATACTAAAAAAAATTTAAAAAAAATTAATATAGAATATTAAAATATTATTTACTTAATTAGTCTATTTTTATATATTTATTTACTATAATAACCTAATAATATTATTTTATAATAAATTGTTAATAATAATAAAACATAAATTATTGAAATCATATTTATGATTAATATAATATGAATAAAAATTATTCAATAATAATAATTATATTTAATAATAATCTTTTTATATATAAAAAATATTATATAATTTTATTAATTAATAAATTCTAATCTCTCTCTCTCTCTCTCTCTCTCTCTCTCTCTCTCTCTCTTTCTGTGTGTGTGTGTGTTATCAATGAATCAATTATAAAAAAAACAAATATATATATATATATATGTATATATATTTTTTAGCAAATATTATTATTATTAAAAAATAAAGTTTTACTTACTTTATCTTTTGTTGTCTAAAACAATAGCAATAATATGGTCTAAACTGTCCGTTCAAATGACTGGTCAATCGGCAACGGTATCGGCTCTTAATGGATGTCAATCAACACCTCTTAACACAACAATAACGACACCAACTAATTGATGAAAAAAAATAAAATAATTAAAAAAAAATTATACATTGATTATATAAATAATAATAATATATTTGAATAATTTTTATCAACAAAAACAAAAAGTTTTCATATATTAAACTTATAGTCAATCGCTGTATAATATATGGATATATTGATACTCTAATGTACTGTAGAGTACTATCTATACTATTAACACACAATATATACATCAAAATAAATGATTGGATTTTATAAAAAAATATATTTTATTTCAAACAAGAGATAGATAATAGATATATATATATATATTATTTTATTACTATTATTATTGTTCAATGACTGGTCAATCGTTAACGGTATCGGCTCTTAAAGGATATCAATCAACACAACAATAACGACACCAACTAATTGATAAAAATAGATAAAATAATTAAAAAATTTATATAAATTTTATTAAAATAATAAAATATATTCAAAAAAATACGCGGCTCAAGATCAATTGACCGCTTCTTTATATAGAATATTATTATTATTACAAAAAAAATAGTTTTTCTTACTTTATATTATGTTGTCTAAAACAATAGCAATAATACGGTCTAAACTGGCCGTTCAAATGACTGGTCAATCGTTAACGGTATCGGCTCTTAAAGGATATCAATCAACACAACAATAACGACACCAACTAATTGATAAAAATAGATAAAATAATTAAAAAATTTATATAAATTTTATTAAAATAATTTATATATTGATAATATTAATAATATTAATAATAATATATTTGAAAAATTATTCAACAAATTATATATCAATAAATTATAATAAAAACTTACGTAAAAAAGTTTTTGATAAAAATTTTTAGATTTTTTTTTCTTCAATTAATCTATTAATCAACACGTCTTAACACAACAATAACGACACCAAATAATTGATAAAAATAGATAAAAAATTTAAAAAAATTATATAAATTTTATTAAAATAATTTATATATTTATTATATAAATAATAATAATATATTTGAAAACATATTCAGCAAATAAAACAAACAAACAAAAAAATTTTAATTTCCTAATAATTAATTAAATATCAATAAATTATAATAAAAACTTACGTAAAAAAGTTTTTGATCAAAAGTTTTTAGATTTATTTTTTCTTTAATTAATCTATTAATTAATTGAAATTTTTTGAATTGAATCAAATTTCTGAGTTGTAAAGTTTTTTGTGTATTTTTGTTTTTTTTATTGATGTTATTTTATTAGAAATTTAGTTATTATTATTATTTTTAATAAAAGTTAATCACATATATATATATATAAATAGACTAATATATATATTATTTGATATTATTTATATCTAGTTTAATATTTTTATTTTTTTTAATTAATTAAAAAATTATTATTATATATGAATAATCACTTTAGTTATTATAATTTTTTTTAAATCAATAATATTATAATTTTTATCAGTTTTTTTTCAAAATTTTTGATTTGATTTAATTATTTTTTATAAGTTATGAAAAAAACTTTTTTGATCAAAAGTTTTTAGATTTTTTTTTCTTAAATTAATCTATTAATTAATTTAATTTTTTTTCAACAAATTTCAAAGTTGTAAAGTTAATGTATTTTAGTTTTTTTAATTGATGTTATTTTATTAGAAATTTAATTATTATTATTATTATTTTTAATAAAAGTTAATCACATATATATATAAATAGACTAATATATATATATTATTTGATATTATTTATATCTAGTTTAATAATATTTTTATTTTTTGAATTATTATATTATTAAATTAAAATAATATTATTATATATGAATATAACTTTAGTTATTATAATTTTTATCTTTTTTTTTGTCAAAATTTGATTTAATTTTTTTCTTCAATTAATTGAAATTTTTTCAACAAATTTTTGTTGAAAAAAAATAATTTAAAAGTAAATCACACACATATTATATATATATATAGAGTAATTTATATTAATAAATATTAATAGATATTATTTATATATAGTTTAATAATATTATTTTTATTTGAATTAACTAAAAAATTATTATTATTATTATTATTATATATGAATAATTATTTTAGTTAATATATTTTTTATCAACAAAATAAAGTTATCATGTATAAATCTTATAGTCAATCACTTTATCAATATATTGGATATATTGAAACTGTACTGTACTGTAGAGTACTATCTATACTATTAACACACAATATCCATAAGCTTATACTATATATATATATATATATATATATATATATATATCAGGGTTAAGCAAGGTTTTGGATTTTAGAGGGGGGTAGACCGGGGTAAAATTTACAAAATTCTCGAAAAATCTTCGGGGAGTATTGGGTGGGTTAAAAATTTTATTGCATTTTTAAACGGCAATTTTTTCAAAAATCCAAAATCAAGGGGGGGGGTCAATGAAAATTCCCTAATATTCCCTTAAATTCCCGAATATTATCATGTAAATTTTAAAAATTATTAACTACTATAATTACACTTTTCAACAAATAGGTAATTTTAAATTTTTTTAGTTTAATATTTTAATTAAAATTATGTTATTTTTATATGAGTTTTAACGTTATTTTAACTTTTTTTTACTTATATTTAATCAATAATTAGATTCATGTAAATTTTAAAAAACATAAAAATACTTTCTAAAATAGTATCAACTAAAATTAAAGTTTTTAAGCAACAATTTTTCCAATTTTGTCAAAAAGTCTAGGGGGGGGTAAAATCCCAATTTCTCGATCTTAGGGGGGGGGGGTATTTTGGCCTTACCCCCCCCTTACTTAACCCTGATATATATAGCATATAAATACACTAAAAAATGATTGGATTTTATTAAAAAAATATATATATTTTATTACAAACAAGAGATAGAGAAAACTATATATATACTGTATATATTATTTTATGTATTATTTTATTACTATTATTATTGTTTTCATTATTATTTTAATTATTATTATATTATATATCCTAACCTAACCCCACCATATAATATAATATTTATATACATGTATAAAATGTGTAATATTTATACATAATATTAATGTTTTTTTTAAACAAATACAACAATTACTTTAAAAATTTCTCATCATTTTTACACATTTACAACAAATTATTTTGGTTTTGATTTATTTAATAGTTTTTTTATATAACATACCATAAAATATAATGTATTGTATAATACAGTATTACTTACAGTACTGTATTATACTATATATATATATATAAATTAAATACTTAAAAACAGCTGTACTTAACTTGTAAACTAAACTAAATTAATTTGAAGTTTCATTATCATTATTATTAAAAAAATATTTATTATATTTTTTTGTAACAAATATATGAAGAAAAAAAATTTTTTTTAATTAAAATTATTAAATATTTAAGTAGATTTTTTTTTGTATCAAGTACAATTGATTAATTTTTATACAATTCTAATAGAATATATAATAATAATAATTGTTATAACATATTACTATTATTATTTTTAAAATTATTATTAATATTTACTTTTTTACTATTATTAAAACTAAATACTAATCGTATAAAAATTATTAATAATTATATATATTAATAGTTATTGTATTTTATTATAGATTAGATGCCACACAAAATTCATGTTATATATATATATATCACACAAACACACACATACACACATATATATATATATATATATATATATACATAAAAAAAATATTAAATATTATATTAAATATTAGTAATAATAGTCTAAAGTTTTATATACATATATATACATATATATACAGTATATACTAACAATAAAAAACAAAACATACATAATATATATATCAATAAATAAGTAAAATAATAAATATATATATATATATATATATATATATATAGATTATATATATGATATTGATTAACACACACACACACAAACATAGCTGACTGGCCAGTTGTACTGTACCTTAACGAACATACAGTACTGTCTATTAGTTAAAAACATGTCATCGTCGCCAGCAATCAGCTCCGGTAGTAGTAGTATCGACAACACTACTGTCCCGCCATCGCCGTCGCCGACCACTGGCTCCGACCGATTCGGCTCAAGTAACGACTCGAACGATGTCTGTTGGATACTGACATCGGCTTTCCTAATATTTACAATGCAAACCGGTTACGCCCTATTAGAGTCGGGTGTCGTTTCACGTAAAAACGAGGCCAACATTCTAGTGAAAAATGCCGTCAATATTATGTTCGGTTCGCTAGCTTTCTGGCTGTTCGGCTACGGCCTGAGTTTCGGTACACCGGCCAACCAGTTGGTAGGTTACGGCGATTTTATGGTCACCGCTTCGGAACTGGATATGGGACCCAAATATTCGGAGATGGCCTTCCAGTTGGCCTATTCGACAACATCGACGGCCATCATATCCGGATCGATGAGCGAACGGTGCAAATTTGTATCGTACCTGTTGTTCAGTTCGGTCAATACGTTCATCTATTGTGTACCGGCTCGTTGGCTGCTCCGGGAGGGCGGTTGGCTGAGATCGATGGGTGCCGTCGATATTGGCGGCTCCGGTACTGTACATTTGGTAAGTGTGAGCTGTATATATATATATATATATATATATATATATACTGTATTTAAAAAAATAATTTTTTTTTAGTGAAATCATACTAGTATTTTAGTTAATTATTTTTTTTATATATATTTTTTAATTAAATATACATTTTATTAGTATTGTTATTATAATTAATATTATTATTAATATTATTATTATATATAAAATTATTAAAATTAATATCTATATTATTATACTAATTAGTATTTGACTGAAAAAAAAAATTTTGTGAATAATTTTTTGTTTTGGTTTTTATTTTAATAATATTTTTTGATTAAGATTTTGTTGGTGTTGTTGTTGCTATTAATTAATTAAAATAATATTTATCAATATTTTTTTATCAATATTTTCGTTACTAAAAATTATAATTAATAATTAAAGTTTTACTACTATAAAAAAAAATATAATTTTTGTTTGATTGAAATTCTAGTTAAAAACAAAATTTTTTTTTAAACAATTTAATTATCATTTTTTTTTGTATAAGTTAAATCAATTAATAATTTAATATATAAGTTAACTTTAAAATGTATATTAGTTAAAGTACCTAAAAATTATAAGCTATAATACATGTATTTATTGGTATTAATTAGTTTATGTATTAAAGTATTACAGTTTTTTAAATATATTATATTAATAGTTATAATTTAAATTTATATACTTGAATAAAATTATTATTATTATTATTATCATATTATTATAAATTAAAAAAAAAACATTAACTTTATATTAATGTTTCTAATATAATATTGTTAATCAAATATCTATAATACATGTAAATTTAAACTACAATTACAGTATTACAGTTTATAATAATAATTAGTTAGTATTTTAATAATAATAATTAGTTAATATTTTAATAATAATAATTAGTTAATATTTTAATAATAATAATTAGTTAATATTTTAATAATAATAATTAGTTAATATTTTAATAATAATAATTAATTAGTATTTTAATAATAATAATTAGTTAGTATTTTAATAATAATAATTAGTTAGTATTTTAATAATAATAATTAGTTAATATTTTAATAATAATAATTAGTTAATATTTTAATAATAATAATTAATTAGTATTTTAATAGTAATAATTAGTTAGTATTTTAATAATAATAATAATTAGTATTTTAATAATATACTGGGTACTAACTAATTTGGTAATAGGCAACAAAAAATATTAGCAAAATTTTTGTTTTTATATTTATAAAATTATAATTGAATTAAACAATTATTAAAAACTGGGAGTTACACTAATATTAAATTGTAAATTAAATAATAATAATACCAATAAATTAATGCTTGATTACAGTATTACAGTTTATAATAATAATAATAATAATAATAATATTTTAATTAATATTATTTTAATTTAATATTAATTTAATAATTAATTTAATAATAATTATTATCATAGCATACAATATTATAAATTATAAATATTTTTCTAAAAAATTTTATTTAATATATAATTACTAATAATAATAATAATAGCATAGAAATTATTGCTAAATCTTTACTAAAAAAAAATTGTACGGTTATTACGGTTGGGGTGTGTGTGTGTGGTGGGGGCGGACAGGTAGGCGGCTGTTCAAGTATAGTGGCCGCCATACTGTTGGGACCGCGAATCGGCCGATTCGGTGCCAACAGCAGCGGCGACATACCAATGGGTAATCCAACCAACTGTCTGATGGGTCTATTCATGTTATGGTGGGGTTGGCTGGGTTTCAGTGCCGGCTCAACGTTCGGCATAACCGGCGATAAGTGGAAATTTTCCAGCCGTGCATCGGTTACGACTATACTGGCGTCGATGGGCGGCGGATCGGTCGGTATGGTACTCAGCTATTGGCTGAAACACGGTCTCCAGGATATTACCATGCTTATGGATTCGATACTCGGGTCGCTGGTGGCCATATCGGGTGGTGCACCAATATTTCGACCCGGTTTTTCGGTACTGGTCGGTTCGGTGGCCGCTTTTCTAGTACTATCAGTCAGTCCGGTAATGGCCCGCTTGCGTATCGACGATCCGACCAATTCGTTTGCCGTACACGCAGTCGGCGGCGCCTGGGGTTTGATAGCCATTGGCCTGTTTGCCGGTTAGTTTGTGTATGTGTATGTGTATGTGTATGTGTATGTGTATGTGTATGTGTATGTGTATGTGTATGTGTAGTGTGTATGTGTAGTGTGTATGTGTAGTGTGTATGTGTAGTGTGTATGTGTAGTGTGTATGTGTAGTGTGTATGTGTAGTGTGTATGTGTAGTGTGTATGTGTAGTGTGTATGTGTAGTGTGTATGTGTAGTGTGTATGTGTAGTGTGTATGTGTAGTGTGTATGTGTAGTGTGTATGTGTAGTGTGTATGTGTAGTGTGTATGTGTAGTGTGTATGTGTAGTGTGTATGTGTAGTGTGTATGTGTAGTGTGTATGTGTAGTGTGTATGTGTAGTGTGTATGTGTAGTGTGTATGTGTAGTGTGTATGTGTAGTGTGTATGTGTAGTGTGTATGTGTAGTGTGTATGTGTAGTGTGTATGTGTAGTGTGTATGTGTAGTGTGTATGTGTAGTGTGTATGTGTAGTGTGTATGTGTAGTGTGTATGTGTAGTGTGTATGTGTAGTGTGTATGTGTAGTGTGTATGTGTATGTGTATGTGTATGTGTATGTGTAGTGTGTAGTGTGTATGTGTAGTGTGTATGTGTAGTGTGTATGTGTAGTGTGTATGTGTAGTGTGTATGTGTAGTGTGTATGTGTAGTGTGTATGTGTATGACAATTGATTTATTATATTTTACCACGAAATTCATACATCCAGAGAAAGACAATCTAATAAACTATACTAACGGTACTAATGGTTTGCTAATCAATTGGGACACTCGACTGATAGCATCGCAACTGTTAGCCATTGCCGCACTGTCCACATGGAGTATCCTATCGACACTGGCCATACTGTTGGCCATCAAATATACGGTTGGCCTGCGTATGAGCGTACGGGACGAAATACTGGGACCCGATTTTGTTGATCACGGTCTGGTACACGACGGCAATCAGGATATATTGAAAATTATAGCCAATAAATATGATAAAAATTTGTTTAAGGAATTGTCGGCCACTGGTAGCCATAAACTATTTGGATAGACTTATATATATATATACTGTATATATATGTGTGTGTGATATATATATCACTAATTTATTGATTTTTTTTTTTGGTTAAAAAAGTAATATTTTACTATTTATAAAAAAAAATACATTCAATTACTACCGGTATATATATGTTTGAGTTATGTTTTTGTTAAATAAATAATTTATTTATCAAAAAAATATTTATCAATTGTCTCTTTAAAAATAATTACTAAATTATTTTAACAAATATATATTAATATCATAAATATATAAATCTCTAATTGTTTGCATAAATAATTTGCTGTTTGTTTATAATGCAAAAAATGAAATTTTTTTATTTATATTTATTTTTTTTAATATATTAATTATATTAATATAATATTATTATATAAATGTATAGCAATTACGTAGTCATCCTGTGTTTACTATATATATCGTTTGTCTGTAAAAAAATAATTATAATTAAATTAATATTATATTTTTAAAAATAAAAATTAATTAACAGTAGTAGTAATAATAATACTAATAAATATGACACATTGATTAATTAGTATATATAAAAATATATTTTTTATTTATTGTGTTGTTATAAATGTGTTTAAATCAACAACAAAAAAATATGAAATTAGCTAATAATTTAAATTTATTACTAATAATAATTAAAATTTTATTTGTATTATTCGTGACCATTGATTGCATGCAATTATTAAATACAATAACTACTGATAATTATGAACTATTGTCTAAACATACCGGTGCTGCTGATAATAGGCCTAATAATAACATTAGGCGACGGTTTACTCGAGGGGCCGGCGGTTATCGGCATATGGAGTATAAGTGTCTGTTTGGACAACTTTCCGATGAAGAATGCGATAAATTAATTAATTTTAATTAAAATTTAATTATCTATTTATTTATTTATAATGTCATATCATACACACACACACACAAAATAATTTAATTATAATTAATTTTTTGGATTTTTATTTTTTGTTTTATATGATTACTGTCATTATACTGTATATTGTTTTTTTTATAGTTTTAATTTACCAAAAAAATATATATAAGATATTTATAATGTATTATATAATTAATTAATTAATTTAACAAACAATTAATTTACTAACTATGTATTTATTAATATTACAATTTGTATTTATTTATTTTTTTAATTTACTAATTTTTTAATTTGTACACAAAATAAAAATAATAATTTTCAATTTTTTATTGAAAATATTTATTAATTTTTTTCAATATCTAAATAATTACTATTTTTTTAAATAATTGCAATTATATTTGCATTTATTATACACAAACACATTGTATATAATTTATTATTTATCAATATTTAGACATTTTAACTATATTTAGATATATATTCCGGTATTTTTAAAAAAATAAAATAAAAACCTAATTTGGTTAACAATTATTTTATTTATTTTTTTTGTAAAAATAAACTCAATTTTACAAACAAATAATATATATATCAATATTTATTATCAATATATTAGAGTTAGTTAACTATACTTTTTATAATTAATTATTTTATAATTTATTAAATAATTAAAATTCATAATAAACTAAATTAGTTTTAATTTTAAATAATGAAATTATATTTAACAATATTATTATTAATTTATACAACAATAATTGTTGCTGATGAAAAGTAAATTTAACTAAAAAAATAATTAATTAATAAACATATAATTATTAAATTAATATAAATTATAATAAATTATAATAAATTAATTAATTAATTAACAGTATATTTATTAAATTAATATTTTAAAAAAATATATATAATTATTAATATTAATAATTATTATAAATATTGATTATTAACTATTTTATTCAATAATATATTTTTTTTCAATAACTTATTAAAAATTAATTATTTTATTTATAGAGAAACTTATAAATCAATTGCAGATTTATTGCGACAAATAATTGCCGAAAACAATGACCACAACATCCACGACAACAACAACGACAACAACAACGACAACAACAAGTGTGGTCTCAAACATAGCCGACGTATTGTTGGCGGCCGACAATCACAACCGGGCGACTGGCCATGGATTGCGGCCATTATGATGACCACCGATAAACGCAACCCGAGCCATAAACCCTATTGTGCGGGAACATTGGTCAGCCGTAGACACATAGTAACGGCTGCACACTGTTTGACAGTAGTCGGTAAGCGGCAGCGTTGGCCGCGGCCGCGGATAACCGTACGTCTAGGCGCTCACCGATTCAGGAGCGCTAACACCACATCAACCACCCGACTACCGGCCCGCGACTACCAGATCAAGTCCTATGCCATACATCCGGCCTATCGGTCGACCAAATCGGGCGATGATATAGCTGTCCTAACATTGCTAACGCCAGTCAAATATACGTCATATATTCAGCCAATATGTTTGCCGCCACCGCCGGCGCCGCTGACGGCACCGTCGGGTAATCAATCATTACGCCATGACTACAGTGGTCAGTCGGTTACCGTAGCCGGTTGGGGACATACCCGACATCGGGGTTCGGTCAACGCGTACTTGAAACAGGTATCGCTGTCCGTATGGAACCGTCGGCTATGCGAACATCGGTACACCAGTCGTGTCGAGGATATGTCCCGATTGCCCGAAACGGTGATCTGTGCCGGCAGTCGTGGCCGACACACATGTCAGGGCGATTCGGGCGGACCATTGATGGCCGCTATGACTGCCGACGGTGGTGGTAGTGGTGGCGGCGGTCAAAAACGGTGGACACTTATCGGTGTAGTATCGGGTGGCGTACTTTGCGGCGATGCCGACATACCGGCCTTGTTTACCGATGTCCAGTTGTACGCCAATTGGATTGGCAAACAAATTTGTGCATGCTAAAAATTGTGATTTAATTTTGTTTGTTTTATTTTTTTAACAAAAATAAATAAATTTTATTAGAATTAATATTATTTTATTTTTTTAAAATTATAATTGATTGAAAAATTTATAATTTTACCGAAAATAATAATATATTTAATACAAATAATAAAAATCTTATTTATGGTTTTAAATTTAAAGTTTAAGAAAAAAAATGCTAAAAATCATATTAAAATAAAATTATTATTATTATATAAACTGTAATTTTTTAATTAAAAATTGTTTTACAGAATTTAATTTATAATATATATTATTATATGTATATTAGTTATAATTTGACTTAAATATGCAAAATATGTATATTTTAGGAAAATGTGTATAACTTTGGAAAAAATGCATAACTTTGGAAAAATATGTATAATTTTGATAAAAAGTTAATATTTTTTGGAAAAACAGATTTTTTAGGAAATATTACATTTTTTGAAAAAAGTATATAAATTGGGGGAAAATAACATTTTTTGTAGATTTTAGGGAATATTTTGTAATTTTAGTGAATTTTTGTAGATTTTATGAAATATTTGTAATTTTAGGGAATATTTTGTAATTTTAAGAAATATTTGTAATTTTAGGGAATATTTTGTAATTTTAGGAAATATTTGTAATTTTAGTGAATTTTTGTAATTTTAGGAAATATTTGTAATTTTAGTGAATTTTTGTAGATTTTAGCAAATATTTGTAATTTTAGGGAATATTTTGTAATTTTAAGAAATATTTGTAATTTTAGGGAATATTTTGTAATTTTAGGGAATATTTTGTAATTTTAAGAAATATTTGTAATTTTAGGGAATATTTTGTAATTTTAGGGAATATTTTGTAATTTTAGGGAATATTTTGTAATTTTAAGAAATGTTTGTAATTTTAGTGAATATTTTGTAGATTTTAGGGAATATTTTGTAGATTTTAGGAAATATTTTGTAATTATTGGGAAAATATTTCGTGTAATCATTACTGTAGTAGTAATGAAATAAAACAAAAATTTAGTAATAGTAAACAATAGGCCCAAACTAGTACACGTATAGAACCACAACAATTTGGTACTATTTTATACTACACACACACACACATACAGTGTCTGCCATTTGTTTTCAAACATCAAACACACAAACAGTTTAACAGATCTCCCGATAAATATTGTTTGTTTTTTGGTGACCAGTTTTTTTCCGAGAACCCCCGATAAATACAAAAAGGATGGCACTGTTTGCCCGTTCAATGCCCAGCGGCCTATTGGCGGCCAGTCGTGAACTGACCAAAGCTATTGTTCGGCAATCGCACGAACAGGTCGTCTATAAGGGACAGGTATGTAAACTACGGTGTCGGCGGCGGCCAGTTAGCAGTCGGCCAACCAATTGTCTGCTATACTATATATATATATATATATACTAATCTTTGTCTACTCCCGTCACAGAACATACCGTTCAATGTGGCCAACTATCGGGCGTTTGCCGTCAAAATGACACTGTTTTTGGCCGTACCGTTTGCCGTACCGTTTATTATTGTCCGCTATCAGCTCAAGAAATCTAGCGGCCAATACTGATTTGGACGGCTACGGGTTGATTGATTGATTGGTTGGTTGGCACCCGATATATGGCCACTAATTTTTGTTGATTAGGAGTATAAACTCATTACCGATTTGTTTTTAGATATATATAGAGATATGATTTAAATAATTGATTATTTTTTTTTAATAATTATATTATATATGATTAGTTAATTAATAGTAATTAATTAGTTTATTAATTAATTACTATTAAATATTTGATGATTTTTTTTGCAAATTATAATCTCAATGATCTGATTATTATTATTATTGTTTGATAGCCTTTAGTAAAATACATGTATAAATTCACTTAATTAAAAGCAAATGATATAATTAATTAATTAATTCAAAAAAAAAAAAATAAATTCAAAAATTTATAATAGAGTTATAATTTTTATTTACAAATAATATAATAACACTTGATTTATATAATTTATAATAAGTATAACTAATATAATATAGTTATATTTAATTTGATATATATTTCTGTATTTAAAGGCAGGTATTAATATATATATATATATATATATATACAGTATATATTAGTATAAAAATATATGATATATACCGGTAATTATAATCTCTTAAAATATAATAATAATAATAATAATACAATTAATAATCTCATTGTTTTCAAACAATAATAATAATTATATATATATTTTTGTGAATACAAACAATTTTCAAACAAAAATCACATTTGATTCAATAGTTTTGTCCAAATTTTTAATTAGTGTACTCATGTTGTTGGCGGGGGCGGCGGCGGTACCGACGCCACCATTGTTTGCCACAGTATAGATGCTTTGCCGGGAACTGGGAGGTCTGGGTGGCGGCGGTCCCCGTTCTCCCCGGACGATATCGCTGGGTTTGGGCGGCAACGGAGGCGCCAATTGTAAGCCGCCGCCGGAAATAGGTTTATAGTGTTTGGTCATCGCTGCTGGCATTATAGTTGTCCGTACGGGCGGTTGAGGCGGCGTAAAGTTTGGTACCGATGTATTCAATCGGCAATCGATTGGCGACGAACCGGTCATTTGTTGTGAATGGCTGTGCGTTTTGTCCGAGTTTTGGCGCAAATTATGATACAATTGAATACTACGTAGAGTGGCGTCCAGATCAATGTCGTTGATAATATGCGGCGGCGGCAGTGGTAGCGGTCGATCAGCGGTAGCTGTTTGGTGACGGCTATAGGTCACCGAAGGTGACTCGCAAGAAGTGGCCATTGATTCGGCGATGTTGTTCGGATCAATAGCAGTGTTGCCATAATTATTGCTGTTTAGACACTTTGTATTGACTGATGATAACCTATGGTTAGGGGCGGCGGCAATGTTAGGCACTTGACATTTGGCACTAGATTTTAACGGCGATTGGACGGGCATATGCTGTGCGGCCAGTAGTAGGTCACGAAAAAATTGTTCCGATTTAGTGTCGTCGCTGAAGCTAATGTTTGCCGTCACCGACGGGTTATTGGCGGCGGCGGTAATCATCTGTCGACTGCTGTCTGCAGGAGTATTGGGCAACGCCTGCTGTGGCAGTGGTGCTGGTGTTAGCATCAGCACCGGTAGGTTCTCTTTTTCATCAGCATTGTTGTTATGATTAGAAGAGCAGTCATCGCCATCGTTGTCGTCGTCGTCGTCCATAGATTTTTCCAATAACGAGTCACTTAAGACACGTATGGGCGGCAGCGGCGGCGGTCGCTGCAGTTGCGGAGTACCCGCACCTACACCTCCTCTGGACTCCCCGGCGACGGCAACCGGCAGCCGACTGGATGCACAATCCCAGCCCCACTCTTCCAGATCGTCGCTGATGCTGACAATCACCCGCTGGTTATCCAATCTAGTAATAGGCATATCGTTGGTAACTGTTTGCGATGAGTTGGCCTACGGTAATAATAAATGAAAAATAACAATTAATACCCGAATAAATTAAAATTAATAGAAAAAACCAATAAATATCGGTATTAAGGGTAAACCCCTCCCCACCCATACATATAGTACACATGTATTGTGAATACACTTTAAGCGATGATTTGGTACCCAATAAACCGTATAATTAATAATACATTCAAACAATAGTTATATTTTTAGAGACAGTAATAACGTTTGTAATTATTATATAATCAAATCGATTGATTAGTACTATTTACAAGTGAGATAGTCTAAAATTTTTCAATTTTCTGCATTGCATCATGGACAATTATTTATTATTTTATTAGTAATATATATATATATATATAGTAGAAACAAAATAAACGTTAATATATAAAATATTTAATGTGTAATTAATAATTAAATAATTAATAATTAAATAATTAATAATTAAATAATTAATACTAAATAATTAATGATTTTGATCATGTATTATATTTTTTGTAAATGTATTAAACATCTAAATAGTATATAACAGTAGTATATATCTGGAAAATAGACAATTTTTTTAGATCATTGTCTGTATTATACATTTGTATAATTATTTAATTATGATAATTGAAAAATAAAAAAAATTAAAAATTATTATCAGGGTTTTTAAAAAAGCCGGCATAAATAATCGATGCCAATTTGTAACATATTGACACATATTGTAATATAAGTTTAACAAAACTAATAAGTAAAATAAATAATATAGAATGAATACAAGTAAATTAATGTTGTTAATAAATTTAATCTCAAATAATCTAAGATTTTTAAATTGATTTATAAAAAGAATCTTACTTTTATCAAATCTCTTATTGTATTTATTAAATCTCTTATTGTATTTATTATATCTTATTGTATTTATTATATCTCATTGTATTTATTATATCTTTCTTATCTCTTATCTTCTCATCTTATCTCTTATCTTCTCTTATCTTATCTCAACTTATCTTTATCTCTTATCTTATCTCAACTTATCTTATCTCTTCTCTTATCTATTATCTTATCTCTTATCTTCTTATCTTCTTATCTTCTTATCTTCTTATCTTCTTATCTTCTTATCTTCTTATCTTCTTATCTTCTTATCTTCTTATCTTCTTATCTTCTTATCTTCTCATCTTATCTCTTATCTCAACTTATCTTATCTCTTATCTTATCTTCTCTTATCTTCTCTTATCTCTTATCTCTTCTCTTATCTTATCTTATCTTATCTTATCTTATCTTATCTTATCTTATCTTATCTTATCTCTTATCTTATCTCTTATCTTATCTCTTATCTTATCTCTTATCTTCTCTTATCTTCTCTTATCTCTTCTCTTATCTCTTATCTTATCTCTTATCTTATCTCTTATCTTATCTCTTATCTTATCTCTTATCTTATCTCTCATCTTATCTCTCATCTTATCTCTTATCTTCTCTTATCTTATCTATTATCTTATCTATTATTTTATCTCTTATCTTATCTTATCTCTCATCTTATCTCTTATCTCATCTTATCTATTATCTATTATCTATTATCTTATCTGTTATCTTATCTATTATCTTATCTATTATCTTATCTATTATCTTATCTATTATTTTATCTATTATTTTGCTTATTATCTTATCTATTATCTCACCTAAATTTACAAAACCTAACATAATTTAACATAACCTAACCTATCATAACCTAACCTAATTTAACCTAACCTAACCTAACCTAACCTAACCTAACCTAACCTATCATAACCTAACCTAATTTAACCTAACCTAACCTAACCTAACCTAACCTAACCTAACCTAACCTAACCTATCCTATCCTATCCTAACCTAAATTAACAAAACCTAACCTAATTTAACCTAATTTAATCTAACCTAACTTCCCTAAATTAACCAAACCAAGCTTACCTAAACTAAAATAACATGTCACCACATAATAATAAATGCCCAGGGTATGACAAAATATATGCAGGCATTTTTCAAAATTGGCATCGATTGTTTATGTCAGCTATTTTTTTACCCTGATTATAATTTTATTTATAATTTTGCAATAAATTTAATTAAATGGTATGTATAATACATACAATGATATTAAAACTAATTAATTTATTTAACGTATTTTGTTTTGTCTGTAGGGTTAGTCCAAAATATGCAAATAATAATTAATTAAATAAATAAATTTATAATTAAAAGATTATTTTATTTACAAATAATATAATAACACTTGATTTATATAATTTATAATAAGTATAACTAATATAATATAGTTATATTTAATTTGATATATATTTCTGTATTTAAAGGCAGGTATTAATATACTGTATATATATATATATATATATATATATTAGTATAAAAATATATATATACCGGTAATTATAATCTCTTAAAAATATAATAATAATAATAATAATACAATTAATAATCTCATTGTTTTCAAACAATAATAATAATTATATATATATTTTTGTGAATACAAACAAAATTTCAAACAAAAATCACATTTGATTCAATAGTTTTGTCCAAATTTTTAATTAGTGTACTCATGTTGTTGGCGGGGGCGGCGGCGGTACCGACGCCACCATTGTTTGCCACCACAGTATAGATGCTTTGCCGTGAACTGGGAGGTCTGGGTGGCGGCGGTCCCCGTTCTCCCCGGACAATATCGCTGGGTTTGGGCGGCAACGGAGGCGCCAATTGTAAGCCGCCGCCGCCGGAAATAGGTTTATAGTGTTTGGTCATCGCTGCTGGCATTATGGTTGTCCGTACGGGCGGTTGAGGCGGCGTAAAGTTTGGTACCGATGTATTCAATCGGCAATCGATTGGCGACGAACCGGTCATTTGTTGTGAATGGCTGTGCGTTTTGTCCGAGTTTTGGCGCAAATTATGATACAATTGAATACTACGTAGAGTGGCGTCCAGATCAATGTCGTTGATAATATGCGGCGGCGGCAGTGGTAGCGGTCGATCAGCGGTAGCTGTTTGGTGACGGCTATAGGTCACCGAAGGTGACTCGCAAGAAGTGGCCATTGATTCGGCGATGTTGTTCGGATCAATAGCAGTGTTGCCATAATTATTGCTGTTTAGACACTTTGTATTGACTGATGATAACCTATGGTTAGGGGCGGCGGCAATGTTAGGCACTTGACATTTGGCACTAGATTTTAACGGCGATTGGACGGGCATATGCTGTGCGGCCAGTAGTAGGTCACGAAAAAATTGTTCCGATTTAGTGTCGTCGCTGAAGCTAATGTTTGCCGTCACCGACGGGTTATTGGCGGCGGCGGCGGTAATCATCTGTCGACTGCTGTCTGCAGGAGTATTGGGCAACGCCTGCTGTGGCAGTGGTGCTGGTGTTAGCATCAGCACCGGTAGGTTCTCTTTTT